TTGCAACTAAACATGTGCTCTACCAACTAATCTAACTCACTTCTTGTTAACATTCATATGTTTCTTTATGCTAATACTAAAACTTCTACTATATATACATATATACATACAAAGGTTATATATGGAGTGGGGGTAGGGGAAGGGGGCAGTTGCTCGCCCTACCCCGCTTTGGCTCCGTTCATGCCGTACAAGACTGCCACAACTAAAGCCAAGTCATCAACAGTACACACATCCATAACATGCTCAAACCAGGCAGAAAATTCATTGCCAACAAACGCAGGCAAGGGCAAATTAGAAATATGCCATACAGATTGCGAATAAACACACAAAACTAATGCATGCATAGTATTCTCGTGAACAAAATCACATAAGGGGCATGAGAGATTCACATCAACTCTCTTTAAATTCAAGTTTGTGGTAGTAGGGATGATGTCAATAACTACTCTCTAAAGAACAAGTACGTGGGCCTAGTCGGAGGGGCTTTGTCTTTCTTAGGCAAATTATACCATGCACCAGGGCGCACAATGATGTGCGCCTTGGCTAAAACAACGTTGTTTTGACCATATATTTTTTTTTAGAAATTTTGTTTCTCGTTTCTACTGTTAAATTCAAAAACAAAAAGTTTCTCTGTTTCAAATGTACATAAATTCATAACAGAATACACATAATCTAACATAATACATAGTACACATAAACTCATAACAAAATATACATAATCTAACATAATACATAATACACATAAACTCATAACATAATATGCATAAATTAAACTCAAAACAGAATACACATAATCTTACATAATACACATAAAAGCATAACAGAATACACATAATCTAACATAATGTATAATACACATAAATTCATAACGTAATACACATAAATTCTTAACAGAATACACATAATAATCAAACATAATACATATATAATACACATAAACTCATAACAGAATACACATAAACTCTTAACATAATACATATAAAATCTGAACAATAAAAACGACGTCGTTTGGGTCAGGGCGCACAATGCATTGTGCGCCCTGGTGCACGGTATACCGACTGTCTTTCTTATTCATTCTCTCTACAAATTGAAAAATGCTATGTGTACTCCTATTTTCTACTCCAAATTTGTACTCCATACACAAAACTTTGATATAGACACTTGTATTGGGACCCTCGTGTAAAAAAATAACTTATCCCGCCACATTAGGAAGTAAGATTTGGGAGTATATGTAGTAGAACTCCTACAAATTATACCATGGAAGCATTGACTAAGGTCTACTTTGCATTATGGACCCTGGCAAAAAATAACCTTCATATTACGTACAGGCATTTACCATATTATGTACATGCAATTAACATTTTTTGTATTTGTAAACAAATTGAAGGCACATCACATGATAATTACATACACATGACATAATAACTACACACACATAAACTGTTAACTGCAAGAACAGAATATGTTAATTGTAGACACATAACATGTTAATCAACATCTCATATGTCTAGAGTTAACATATTCTATACATGCAGACATGTAATTAATAATTTATGTGTCTTGATACGGTTAATTCCCGGTTGTACGTAGAGAGTATACCATATGTATGAATTGTAATGTACGTATGAACAATGTAGAGTAGACAAAAGAAAATAGCTCAAAGGATCTTTTATTCATAATTGTGTGTTTCTAGAGAGAGTAGAGAGAGAATTGTGTGTAGAGAGAGAGTGTAGTGGAGGAGAGATAGGGAGGAACCAAAAGTCCCTTACCAAAGGGCTAGGTTGTAACACCCCTAAATTTTAAAATATTTAAAGCTTTATAAACTAAAGGCGAGTATGATATTAAATCTCAAACAGAGCATAAACGAAACATAATAGTCAGGGTGCTATGCCGCATCTAAGCTGGAGAACATAGATGCACAGGCTATACTAACTAACCAAACATAATCCATAAATCCATAATTGAGTACAAACCAAGGCACGCAGGTCGGCTAACTAAATCTAAAACTATCTAGACTAGATTCGGGGGATCCAACTAGCGCACTCCAAGCTACTAACCTGTATCTAAAAAACATGTGGTGTAACAACCGTCAGCGAATAATGCTGGTAACCTACTTCAACGCGTTAAGTACTATATAGATAGATATAGGAAAATCATTTTGAAACTGGAATACATATATACTTACGAGACTCTAATTTAAATCCAAGATCAAGACTCAAGACGCGATAATAGACTCGACAATATAATCATAAAGACTAGCATGCGTCTTAAGGACTCATTACAAGACATAATAGATAGATAAGCATATAAATAGGAAATAGAGACAACAAAGGAATTCAAGACAGTCAATTAGCAATTAATCATCAAGTCAGACAATCCATCTTCCAACCTTATACCAAGTTCCAACCTTGTGGCTCCCCTCCGTCCTTATATTAGTTCCAACCTATACCTCCAGGCCACCCTTATATCGCCTCCCTTATTCCTCCGGGCAACTACATGCCCCCATCGACAAACCACCTTTCAACCACCAACATATCAAGATAGCGTCGCAGTGCCAATCGCATGATCCGTACCTCTAGTACCAATATCAAGGGGTCAGCGCATATAGCCCTGACATGACACCGCAACACTTATAACTTGACCCATGCTCAACGGCAAGCTAGTCGAAGGTGGGTTTGTGCCTTTAGCACAGTAACCGCTAGACATGTACCTTTAGTACATCGTAGTGCTAACCGCCAACAATTCATTTCCACCAATCACAATCTCATCATCATCATCATCATCATAATCATCATCATCAGTCACACCGGCCATTGCGCAATGACCATGATACTCATCGTCATTCAATCAATCAACATATAATCAATCAATAACAATCAAGATATAACAACAACGACACGTACTACACATAAATTCCTAGAATGGTATTCGAAACATCAAACGGGACTCATACATGACAAACAGGGTACAACAGGGCACAACGAGACACGAGGAAACAACAAACGGGGAAAAACACCACGACGCACATCAACTTTCCAGCAAGTGGGCGGTGGGTGGAGGACCACCCACCAGCGGCCAGATACTATTCCAGCGGGTGGCCGGCGGGCAGACCACCGCCCGCCGGCTGCCCGCTGGAACAGTGTTCCCGGGCAGCGAGTAGGTGGCGGGTACCCGTGCCCCCACCTACCCCCCACTGATACTCAGGCAACTTTTCGGTCCCAGGATCTCTCGTAGAACCCGAAACCATGTCCAGACACATTCAAACACATAACGACAACACCACGAATTCAATTAACGGGATTAAATCAAGAATCGTACCAAATATTTCTAACACGATTCCTAAACATGTCAAGACTCATCATGAATTCATATAACGGTTCAGGAGCATCTGGAACCTCAAGAACATCAAGAAATCTATATGCAAAGTCCTAAATACAAGTCCTAGGCTAGACTCAACACCCGATCATGCATAATCCCACCCAAATATACCAAGAACATCATAATACAAATTCACGATATAAACCCTAGGGCTCTAGACATAATTAAAATACGAGATCATACATATAGTCAATCACAATATCAAGAACATCAAGATTATCAAATAAACACAATATAAATCCTATGCAAGGGCTCTATCAAGACTCAATCACAGAATTACACGTACGATTATCAAAGGAGCCAATAAATAAGATATAGCAAGGAAAATATGTTTTATAAGACATGGGTTACCTCTTAGCCCTAATCAATATCCTTGGCTACTAAGGTTCTTTTCTAAGATCTCCCTCCAATGGATTCCTCTAAGTTTAGTGGCGGGGAATTTCTTTGCTAGGTTTCCTCGGGGAATATCTTGCGAGGTAGGATTAATCATGGTGGGGTTTCTAAATGCTTTCTAATTTCCTATATATAGGTTCATGAGTCCTAACTAGAATCTAAATAGTAAAGATCCGCTTTTCCTATTCTTTATAGGATTAAAGACTTGGTTAAGGATAAGGGTCCATGATCTATTGTGGTCCACGCTAATTAATTAATGGGAATTCTAGTCTAATTAAATCCTTTTTAATTATATGTTAACAAAATTAATTTCATAATTAGTCCGGATACAGAGGCCGTAACACGGGGTGTTACAATACTGTGCAGGAAATTCTAGTTTCGTAGCCTACACCGTGGGTTGTTTCCGTTCTTCACCCCATCACCGCCAAGCCTGCCGCACCGGTCCAGACCGAATCATCACACCCGGCTGCACAGGTTGCAGTAGCCACTCGGCTACGTGGGCGTCCACACGGCAGGTCTACACGGTCTACCGTCCGAACCCATGTCATGGAGACTCGTAGTCGGTCTCAGCCCTCCCCCCCCCCCCCCCCCCCCTCCTTTATGGTTTTTACTACACAGGTTTCTTCCACTGATCCTACTTGTTACACACAAGCTGTAAAATATCCAGAGTGGCGAGAGACTATGGACGAAGAAATTAATGCTTTGTTACAGAATCAAACTTGGTGTCTTGTTCCATCTCAGCCTAACCAAAATGTGATTGGATGTAAATGTGTTTTTCGAACCAAACAAAAGGCGTGTGGTTCAATTGAGAGGCACAAAGCAAGGTTAGTAGCAAAGGGGTCCAATCAGGTTCCTAGTCAGGACATTTTAACACATTCAATCCAGTAGTAAAGCCCACTACAATCAGGTTACTTATTTCTTTGGCTATATCATCTAGTTGGATGGTTAGGCAACTTGATGTTAACAATGCCTTCTTTAACGGTAATCTGACTGAGACTGTTTACACGAGGCAACCACCTGGTTATATTGATGCTCAGTTTCCTAATCATGTTTGTTTGTTAAAACGTTCCTTGTATGGGTTAAAACAAGCTCCGAGAGCTTGGTTTAATCATCTACATGCGTTTTTACTATCTATTGGGTTTCAGGTATCCAAAACAGACGTGTCTCTATTTTATTACTCGTAGAATTCTACTTATGTATATCTTCTAGTCTATGTTGATGATATTCTAGTGATGGGGCGTGACTATAATATAGTAAATCATTTATTGTCAAAATTGTCTGCCACTTTCAATGTGAGGGATCTTGGTGAACCTGGTTTTTCTTACTATTGAAATTGTTAAATGTGATGATGGGATCTTACTGTCCATTCCCATTTCCGTTTCAAAATCTCTTCCTCCTACTATAGACTTGTATGATGATCCTACGCAGTACATGAGCCTAGTTGGAGCTTTACAGTATCTCACCATCACGCAATCAGATTTATCCTTTGCAGTCAATCAGCTTTGCCAACATATGCATGCTCCTACAGTCTCACATTGGGAGCAACTGAAGCGTGTGTTGAGGTATGTAAAAGGAACAACTTCTTTTAGTTTACGGATTCGAAAGTCAGAGTCAACAGAACTTCATGCCTTCTCTGATTCTGATTGGGTTGACTGTCCTGAAGATCGTAAATCTACTAGTGGTTATGTTGTGTTTCTTGGATCGAATCTTGTGTCTTGGGTTTGCAAGAAGTAAAGAACAGTTGCTAGATCTTCCGCTGAGGCATAATACAAAGCTCTACCAGATGTTTTTGTTGATGTAATATGGATTATCTCTCTACTTCGCGAGATCAACGTGCCAGGTGTCCCTATTCCCAAGCTATCGTGTGATAATCTTGGTGCTACATATATGTGTGCAAATCATATTTTTCATGCTCGCACAAAAACATGTGGAGATTGACTATCACTTTGTCAGAGATAGAGTGGTTTTTGGTGACATTCGAGTTAACTTTATCTCTATCAAGGATCAACTTGCAGACATCTTTACAAAAGCTCTATCTAGCCCTAGATTTTCTTTTCTTAGAGACAAGCTACAGGTTTCCAGTGTACCCTATACTTGAGGGGGAGTATTAGGACTCTATGTATTTGAGTTAGATTATGACTCCCTATCCTAGTCTTTCTATAATTCTCTCTTATATATATATTCTCATACTCTGTACCTATTGTGATTCAACTCATTCAATACAATTGATACAGTTTTCATCATCTCAACCTCTGTTTGTTTGGTTGTAAGGCTAGAATTAAGAGAAAAAAAAAATGAATTATAGTTATGTGTGAATGAATAATGGATAATAACGTAAGAATTTAAATTTTATTGTTTTGTTGGATAGACAAGAGTAGAATTATAGTGTTTGATATAAATGAGAATTGAATGTGAATCTATAGATTAATCTACTATACTATATACTAATAAGAGTCAAAGAGAGTTAGGCCTATAATGGGTAGAAAAAATGACGGTCAAATTTTTTAATCAAATGAATGGCTCAGATTGAGCAGATTTTAATTTTTCCTTTTGATTTCCTAATTTATCCTTAATTATATGATTATCCGTTAACTTTTCCGTTAAATATTATTTTTTCTGTTAATATCTATTAGTTTACCTTTTAACTTATTGATTTCAATAAGAAATGTCTTAGGTTCGAACCTCATCTCAATCCAAGTTGGCATAACTATTACTCTATTTTACTCTTATTAAATTAAATAATAATTTAGTAGCTACAATAGAAAAAAAATAATAATGCATATGCATTTCTTTAATTTATAATTATATGTCTACAATGCCTTTATTCAAAAAAAAATTATTCATTATCAATAAATTAAATAAGATAAATAATTTCATTAGTTATATTATCTTTATTTTTCTCCAATATAAAAATTCTTTACATTCAAATTCATCAATGGATTATATTCGTTACATTGTCCCTACAATGTCTTTATTCAAAAAAAAAATATTCATTATCAATAAATTAATTAAGAGAAATAATTTCATTTGTTATATTGTCTTTATTTTTCTCCAATGTAAAAATTCTTTACATTCAAATTCATCAATTGATTATATTCACTACATTGTTTATTATCTTTTTTTGTGCACTATTTTTTAATTAAATATCAAAGTTATAATACAAAATAATGCTATATATTTATTTATCAATTATTTTATTAATAGTATGCAAAAATTACAAAATATATAATTAATAAAGACAATCATATTAACTACTTGAGGGATTTGTTGACAAAGAGAGTATTCAAAACACACAACAATTGAAGTGGGAAACTACCACGCAATGTCCTTGTTTAACAATCAGCAGTTAGCGGATTTGACCAGCGAATCATGTCAATGGTTAATAGTAATACTAATCATAATAATTGTTTTAAAATAATAATAATAATAATAATAATAATAATAATAATTTAATAAAATAAATAAAATTTAAAAAAATAAATAAAATACATGGGGAGCGAAACGTTCGACTCCCATTAGTTTTGCCACTTTTCCCACATCGATGGGAAAAGTGGCATGGGAGCCTTGAAGCTCCTATAAAAGGAGGCTTAAGGCTCCAATTTAAAAATTAAGCTTGTCCATGGCTCTTGTTATTCAAGGAGTCAAAATGGCTCTACAGTAAACTTTTTTTTTTTTTATTTTTAATTTAATATAGAGGTGTTTTGTAGAAATCATTCTGAAAAACGCTAAGTAAAAATATTGTAATTTAAATTGCAATGTTTGTATTTTCAGTGGTTTGGAATAAATTCTTACTTCAAACTGTTGAATAACCAAACACCTTCTTTAGCATTTTAATCTTTGGGTTACATCATATTTATCAAATGTCCAATATCTTTGGGTTACATTATAAACAACAAATCGAAGACATTAACTTTTATTAAATATACTAGTTTTTTACGGGATAATGCTCAATGATTATTTTTAAATAAGTATTTCAAAGTATATCAATGCAATTATATAGGAGATGTTCATACATAGGTAAATAAATGTTAAATTTTTTTGTAAGTATATATGATAGTGTTAATTGCCACGTAATGCGGTAATTAAATAATTATGAGACCAATTAAAGCAATTAAATAACTCTTATTGATCACAGTGAAGGCCCTAAGTACAATCTACTTGGTTGCTCTGAGTACCGACTGACTGTGGTCGGGATTCTCTAACAACAACCTATTGATCGTCCAAAAGTCCCTCACACTGTCGTTATCGCGGGTATTTATAGCCGCGGAGCTGGAGACACAAGTCCGGCCGTCCGGCATGCCTCTCACGTAGCAACCACGTGTCACCTTCCCGGGTGCCCTGCCTGTCATCGTGTAGAGTCGCCACGTGTTTCTCACCAGCTCTCTCGCTAAAGGGCTACCACTCGGTGATCAGCAACGCCATTCGGCCACTACCCGGTCGGGAACCGACCGGGTTCTTCACAAGAAACCCGACCTGTAACCTGCAAAAACAAGAAGGAAAGAACAAAGGCACATGGGTCGGGATAACATTATGCCGGTCGGGGTATTCTCTACCAAGAGCCCCCCAGCCTGTGCCTTTTGGACCGTCTGGGAAAAAACGGGACGGGATGAAGAAGCCCAACCGTCATCCACCAAACCGACCGGCCAGCTATCATTCCCTCTCTTGCCACGTGTCGACGACTGCCGGCCTCTGCGACTGCAACGGTCGCCTCGGAATCAGCACTGGTCCCGTCATGCAAGTGGACTGTTTTCCCGCCTAAACGCTCTCCTATAAATAAGCCCTTGAGGCCCTCATTTGAACTTTCCTCAATCTTCTGATTCAATCGGCACACTCAGAGAGTCCCGAGCGAACACCTCAGCAGATTAATCGAGCAAAAGATCTTCAAGCTTCTCAAAGTCTCCTTGATCGGTAAGCTCTCTAATCTTTTGCTTTTATACTTGCTTTAAGTTTCCGTATAGCGGTTGGTAGGGCAAGACTAACCTCGACCCAAATGTCCGGAGCCCTATACTAATCCCGACCGACCTTTAGGTAGAAAGAATGTCGGACTCGGACAGCCAGAACGTCTCGGTCGCAGATTACGACGATGAGGTCGAGCAGGTCAGCGAGGAGGTGGACATAATGTCCTACTCGCCGGAGGTCGTTCAACGACCACATCAAACTCCCGAGCGAGTCCCCGAGCAACAACGGTCATCAAGCTCGTCTGGGACGTCGGGATCGAGCTCGAGCGAGTCAGGGAGCTCGAGCGAGGAGAGCGGGGAAACGTCCACGAGCGGACGAAATTCCCCGGCCGAAGGCGTTCGGGAAACGCCTACGAGGGTAATTGGGGATTACCCTCAGGCCGAGCCCCAAGAGGGCGATCGAGCAAACGACGCGGAATCGGTCGAAGAAGAGCCGGCCGAACAGGCGGCACCGGGCGGGGACGGGTTCGAGTTCCTCAACAGCGAAAGCGTCGAGAACCAGATGAGCCTACTGACGAAAGGAGAGGCAGCTAGGATCGCTGCAACACTCGCTGGTTGGGTCGAGTTCGACACCAGCCGGCAGCTCGGGAACATAATCGACCGGCACCGGGGAAAGTGGATTGGGATGCACTACGACTCCCTGATGGCCCCTATCACTTTCCCCTTCTCAGGCCTTCTCACCGCGTTCCTGGGTTACTACCAGGTCGTGCCCGGTCAGATCTGCCCGAACGCGCACCGGATGATCTCGTGCTTCCCCCAGATTTGCAGTCGGCATAACTTGGCCTGCACGATGGAACTGTTCAACTTCGTCTACCAGGTGAAGGTGTTGGCGGCCACGTACGGGGGCGGGTTCCTAATGACCCAATCCCGAGCAGATATGTGCTCGATCGAGGGGCTGCCCGGGAATAATCGGGGGTGGAAAAACCGGATTTTCTCAGTTAAATACGATCCGTGGATCCTCCCGGTCGAGAGGGTCTGGAGCCAATGCTTCCGGAAACAAGTCATTCCGGTCGAGACACAGGCCCTCAAGGATACGGTCACCAAAATCTCAGGCGAAATCTACAAGTACCTGATCTTTAAGACGCCCGAGAGCTACGAGGCGGCTCAACTACCCGAGCCGGTCTACGATCTGACCGAGAAGTACAAGCCCGAGCCGGCGGGCGTAACAATTACAAGGATGCCCGCTCGGGGCAAGCGAAAGGGAAAAGGTCTAACACTAACCAATTCTCCCCGACCTTAACACCCCGAACATCTTCTTATCCCGATCTAACCACCTTTTATTTGTTTGCAGAGATGGCTGGTTTTGGAGATGATGACGCCCCTCTACCCCCGGTGGCCAAGATCTCGCTTGGCAAGAAGAAACTGAAGACCAAGCCGGCCGGGAAAAAGGAGATCCCGGTTGCCCGGCCAGTGGGCACCTCGACCATCACCACGCCCAAAGGCTATGTGGTGGAAGCATCCGATGTCCTCGTTGCCCGAGTGGCAGTAGCAAAGGGCAAGGAAAAGGTGCCCGAGAAAAGGGCAACTGAGACCGGCGTATTGAAGCGCCGGTGGGAGCAGCGCAGCTCGAGCCCCTCGACCGGGGGAAGCAAGGACAGCTCGTCCATTCACGCCCGGATCAGCAACGCCGGACCGGCCAAGGATGATTTGGACAAGCTGACCCCGACCCAGGTGGCCAAGAAGATCGTCTACGATTTGGTTGAGGTAAAACTTTCTTCTTTTGATCTTTTTATGCAAGTAACCCCGTTCAGGCTAATCTCGATCGTATGTGCCTTG